GAGCGCCGAGGAGCGCCGTGCCCTCGATTCCCCGCGAGCGGGCTCTCGGACCGCCTGTGCCCTCGCCCTTTCTCGCCGAGCTGCCCCCCCCGCCCCACAAATCAACTGCCCTCCGCTCCCCGTCCAGACCCCCCATTTGGCAAACGGGCGTGCTTAGGAGGTGGGATCCGCGCGCGACACGCACGCGCGGACTGGAGAGCAGGTGACCTCTTCAGATGTGCGCCTGTGTTTATTCCGCGGACCTGAGCCGTCGCCCCCCGTTTGCAGCGCGTTCATGGGGGTCACCGGCGAGCCCGCGTGGCTCCTCGCAGCTGCCAAGGCTGGTCAACTCGGCCTTCCCGCTGTGTGGGACTGCAATTCCCATCTCCGCAGCGATGACTCAAGGTGCCCAACCAAACCAGGGGAGATGCTAATCGAGGCGTAAGGACAAGGGAAACAGCAAGCGGCTCCCATCATCCGCAGCCGCCTCTCAAGGGGCCGCGGTTCGCCCCTTCCGTTCTTCTCACGAGGACCGTTCGCATCCCCCCGGGGCTGCCTCCCTTCGGGGGCGTCTGTCGATTCGCTTCCTTGGTTCCGACCTCGCCTTTCCACCGGCCGGGGACACCCGCGGCAGCTGAGAAGAACCGACGGGCCGGCCGAAGGAGGAGGCCTGCTTCGACCCAGGTCGACACCCCCACCCTCCACAGCCAGCAGGTCGGCCCCCCTCCGCCCAGAGGGGCCGCCTGGCAAGAGCGAGGGCGAGGCCGACTGGGTTCCACCTCAGAATCGGCCGCTCTGCGCGCCCGGCGCGGGGAGCTGAACGGCCAGGGCGGGCGCACCTGCCCCTGGCCGGAGAAGCCTCGGCGGGTCGCTCCTGAAAGCCAAGCCATGCTATTCCTAGGTATCGACGGGCGTGACGTGTGCATTATTCAGCTGGGTGCTTCTTTTTAGCTCGGGCACCTTTCATTTTTTCGTGTATAATTTTTATTCTTTCCACCTTAGTCTTTTATCTTGAATTTTATTTATCAGATGGTTCTTCGCCATTTAGGCTGGCCTTCCTAGCCCTTCTCATTCGGCAGCTAAGTTCGCGGTGGGGGCTTCCATCCCTGAATGCGCCACGCTCGTGTTCCGCGTCAGAAATGGGACGACCCCCCCCATGTCTTTCCCTCCCTTGTGGCACAGAAGAGCCAAAGGGAGGGGAAACGGTGTAACGCACACTCAGCAAAAAAGGCCCTCGATTAAAAAAAGGGGGGGGACGTGGCGCTTGGGTACTTGGGGAAAGGTCGGCGAAGGCGTGAATGGCGAATCTAGCGCGGTTGCGCCGGTGCGTCGCCCAGGGCGCCGCCGAGGCCAGGAAAGGGTGAAGAACGGAGGCTGGGCGCTCCTCCTCTCCCTGGCGCGGGGACCTGCGTGGCTGGGGGGCTGCACTGTGGCCCCTGCGTGTTCACCTGCGCGCTCTTTCTGGGCCTGTGCTCGTTTAGTGGTGCGCCGGGGTGGGCTTTGACGGGTGCCCTTTGTGCTTTGATTCGGTCTCTGCGCGTGATTCTGCATGTGCCCGTTTATGTTTGACTTTCTCTTTCGCTGCCTTGCGTGTGCTCATACTTGCCCGCTCCCTAAGCCGGTCAGCAGGGAGACCCCAGCGTGTTAGCTCAGAAGTAAGCCCCACTAAGTTCATAGGATTTACTCGCACGCGGGTCTAGGGCTGGATGGACAGCGCCCGCCGCAACCCTTCCGCGGGATTCGTTTCGCTCTGAGCTTTTCGCGCTTCTAATCAGCGCTATTCCTCACGAGGGCTAGAAACATCCAAACACTTAAAGCCGCGATCCTATCTCCGCTTACAAGGGATTTTTAAAAATACTTGGTACTACCAAAATGTCACACAGTAATGTCTTGAAAAATCTATCCTGCCTTTTTGAGACCAACCAAGATGTTTTAAAAAAACTTAAAATCAGTTTTTAAAATCCTCCCAGTCCGAAATAATTGTTAATTATTGAAAACAGCCCCACCCATACGTTGCCTTCGACCTGATGCACCAGCAGGGTTGGAGGCGTGAGGGCCCCCGCACCCCACCGCCGGGGTTCTGGGCCGCTGGGGCCTGGGGTCCCGACCAGCCCGCTCCCCCCCCTTGCCACTCCTCCCGCTGCGCCCTGGCAAATCGGTCCGCGCCGCCTCTCCCGGGCGCGCGCCCTTCAGGCAAATGGGGGGGGGGAGCCGGGGAGGGGCTTGCAGACGCAGCTTGGGAACCGCCACGAGCAGCGGGGGCAGCGGCGCGACCTGGGGGCCCGGCCCGCCACGCGCGTGGCCCGAGGCGCCCTGCTGGTCCCCGAAGGCTCCGGACAGGCGAGGTTTCTCAGAGGCTGGGGCGCAGGGGCACGTTTTCAGAAGTGGAGGGTCCCTCCCCCACGGCGCAGGGGGCGTCCGGGAGTGGGGCCCCCGCCGCTTCCCCCGGCCAGCTGGAGGAAGGGTCCCCTCTCTCGCGGGGGAGCGGCCCTCGGGGGTCCGGGGCGCCCCTCCGCTCCACGCCCCAGGGCAATTAATCGACTCCACCGCGCGCCTCCACTATCAGACGAGGTCCTACCTGGGAGGATTCGCTCCGAAGCGACGGCACTGGCCCTTCCTCCCGGGAAAGCGGGCCCGGAGCTGCCCCCTGGGGACCTGCAAGTCAGTTTCCGCCCCCCGCCGTTAAAACGCGCTGCGCTGCAAACATGCGGTACATTTGTATGCCGCCTTTCCTCCAGCAGCGGACTCACCGAGGCTCGCGAAGATAAGGCGTAGATTAACAACAGGGTCTGATTAAAAATATGCCAAGGAACACATGCTTTAAAAAGCGAAACCAAACACAAGGAAGGAAGAAGCAGGAAAAAACAGAACCCTGTTAAAAATTCCCTTTAGCCCCAAACCAGTTTATCTGTCTGGATACGGAGGGCTTTTGCTTCCTATTA